CGGGCGTGTCTCCCCGGGAGGAGACGGGCACCTGCTCCCCGGGAGCGGCAGCGGGCGGGTGGGAAGGAGTAAGCAGAAACGTATCGAGGGTTGGTGCCGAGGAGAGGCGCTCCCGGGCTCCCCCTCTCCCTTGGCAGCGCCCGGCCGGGGGCGGTGTCGCAGAGCCACCGGACGGGAGGAACCTCCGGAGGTCAGCGGGGACAACCCCCTGCTCGGGCAGGGCCGCCTTGAGCTGGCTGCCCCGGGCCGTGTCCCGACGGCTTTTGAATGTCTCCAAGGAGGGAGACTCCACAACCTCTCTGGGCAACCTGTGCCAGTGCTCAGTCACCCTCACTGTAAAAAAGTGTTTCCTGACGTTCAGATGGAACCTCCTGTGTTTCAGTTTGTGCCCGTTGGCTCTGGTTCTGTCACTGCGCACCATTGAGAAGAGTCTGGATCCATTTTCTTCATTCCATCCCTTCAGCTATTTATACACACTGATGAGATCCCCCTGAGCCTTCTCTGGGCTAAACAGTCCCAGCTCTCTCAGCCTTTCCTCATGGGAGAGATGCTCCAGTCCCTTTGTGGCCCTCTGCTGGACTCTCTCCAGTATGTCCATGTCTTTCTCATACTGGGGAGCCCAGAGGTGGACACAGTACTCCAGGTGTGGCCTCACCAGTCCTAAGTAGAGGGGAAAGGTCACCTCCCTTGTCCTGCTGGTGATACTCCTCCTAATGTAGCCCAGGATAATGTAGCCTTCTTTGCCACAAGGGCACATTGCTGGCTCATGTTCACCTTGGTGTCCACCACAACGCCCAAGACCTTTTCTGCAAAGCTGCTTTCAGCTGGTCATCCCCCAGCATGTACTGGTGCATGGGGTTGGTCCTCCCCAAGTGCAGGACTTTGCACTTCCCCTTGTTGAACTTTTTGATGCTCCTGTCAGATCATTCTGCAGGCTGTCGGGTCCATCTGGATGGCCGCATGACCCTCTGGTGTATCGACCACTCCTCCCAGTTTTGTACCTTGTGTCAATATTTTCCTAACATATTCACTTCTGCTGCAATAATTTATTTATTTTTAAAGGGCCTCCTTCAGCCAGAGACTTGCTACACTACATGGTGAGCCACCTCCTTTGAAACAGCACTAGTGTCATAAAGCAAGAGTTCCTCCATGAAGAAAACATTTTCAAGGCCTTTGCTGATACAGGCCACAGCAGGGCTTAACATGCATCTTGTGAACTCTCAGGATACAGAGGCCCCGAGAACTTGATGTATTTCATGGGACACAAACACAAAAAATATCCAGGAAAAATAACTGTCCGTAGGAAAACAAGCACACAGCTAATAAAATGTGAAGAATGCAATATTGTTATAAAGTTCATCACATCTTTAACAGTCGGATTCAAAAATAAAGAATTCCTCAGGTGAATACCGGAGCTGTCAGTGCCCTAGGGTTGTAGTGGCCCTGACCACTGCACACCGAGGGGTCAGTGATCCACAATACGGTTACCCTGGGCAGGTGCAGGCTGGGGCTGTGCTGTGCTGGGCTGTAGGTACAGCCTGGCCTTCAGGCTGTGCCGTGCTGCACGCATCCCTTGGCCGCGGGATAAACTTAGCCAGCTCGTCGTTACAGAGGAGCCTGCAGACAGCTCCCGCTTGGTACCAGCAATTACACCTCCTGCCTGGCCTTGCTTTGTCTAACAATGCAGCAAGAAGGTCTCATGAGAGCATCGTTTCTGTTTTGATTGCAGAAATGATAGAGTTGTTTCCTTGTAAGAAAATCTTATAAAAGCTTGAAAGACTGAAAGGGGAGAATCTCTGCTATGGAGGAGGTTTGCATGGCATGCTGTGTGTGGGCCAGTGGCCCGCTCAATGACCCCACCACCTGGGTCTCCCACTATCTAACGGAACATGAGATCACCTATGCTATTCTTTTCTGCTAGCATTGTAAATAAATAGCATTGTAGATGATACTTTACAGGGTCTAAGTTCTTACTGGGATCATAATGGACCAACACCTCCTGGTGCAAAACAGGGTTAAATTAAGAAATTGGGGGATCAGGGCATGCACATTATTTCTATTATTTTCCACAAGCAAATGAAATATGCAGAAATCCCCTCTCTCTTTCACATATGCAGATGTAGTTGTCAAGTTCGTATCAACAAAGTTTCATGAAGGCAAGGTCTGGCAATCTGAAGATCTGGAGGAGGCAGAATTTTGAGCACTGCGCAGTCCTGGTGGTGGCGTTGGAAGCAGCATTTTTGTGGGGGTTAAATGGTGTCCTGTTTTGGGAGTGTAATGTAGAAGGTCGATGAACATTTTTAGAGGAACATACTTTGGATAGAGTGGTTAGGTTTGGTTCCATGTAAAGGAATATTTTGGAACATCTAGTAAGCTCTTTCTTTGCACACCAGTGGGAAGTCTTTAGAGAAAAGCAAGGTTATGACTCAAGACATCAGGAGCAGTGTTTTAGGGCTGGAAGGCGACGTCCCTTCCAGCACCGAACTCTGCACTCGTTTTTTCCCAACTCCTGACACCGCGGAGTGGAGTCATGACAGGGCCGCAATGCCACTCAGATTGAAAAGCAAGCATTTTGGCGTGGGGAAGGTGCCTGCAGAGGGAGGGCGGCACTGCCTGGGGTGGCATGACACTGTCATGTGTGTCGTCGTCCCCCGACTGTTGGGACCGTTGGCACAGCACGCGACACCCACCACCTACCGCTCCCCCAGAAAGAAGGGCGCAATGCTTAATCCCACCCCGCGGGCCTGCGACACACCGATCGGGAGAGAACGTGCTGAGTTGTGCTCTCCGCAATTGGACGTCGCTTCGACGACACCTGCTTTTTGATGGGCCGAGTGCGGAGCAGCAGCAGGTGGCTGGCTGGGCTTAGGAGGGGTGGCCGGTGCCCGGGTGTCACTGGGGAGCAGTGGGGCAGCCTTGCCTTTCGTGCCCTCCGATGGCCAAAAGGTGCTTGACTCTCCTTTCCCTGGCAGACACAGGCCCGAGGGCTGCCTCGCAGGCACCTTCCCTCTCTGTCCAGGCCGTTGCCTCTGGAAATCCCCCTTATCATGAACGTGTTCTGACGGGCACTGGAGGAGGAGTTGAATTCTGTTCTGGAGACATTCAGTTCTGGAGACATTCTAGGTAGCACTGCGACCCACAGGGAAATCCTGAGGTGCTGCTGTGTTTTAGATCGGCCTTCTAGACAAAAGTATGTTGACCTTTACCCTTACCATCAAAGTAGCTCTAGAAGAGCAAGCTCTCATCAAAGTAGCTCTAGAGAAGTCAAGGAACTTAAAGCTACCTTAACCTCCAAAGATAAGAATAACAAATTCTGTAATTCTGTACCTCTCAGAGATGCAGCAAAAAACCCATGGTGCTTTTTTCTAATTGTAAATTGGGTAACTTAAAAAAAAATTAATTCATGACTATCAGCAACCAGATCACGTTAAGAAATCGTGCAGCTTAACAGAGTCTTACCCAAACTTACCTTTACAATTAAGTCTGGGTCAAATTTTCATTACTTTGAAACACATTATTTTTTATTACCATGCAAGACAGAAATATTTTATAAAACTGTAGAAGGAGATCATATATGTGACCAACAACAGTGAACTTTTCTGTAATATTTTTCAAATTTCCTTTTTTTTTAAAGATTTTTTACATAGCTCAAAATGGTTGATGTTGAAAAAGGCAAAGAAGATCTTTACTCAGAGATAAAACTGCTACACAGTTGAAAAAGATGGAAAGCACAAGACAGGACCAAATCTTTGGGGTTTATCTGGCCACAGAACAGGACAAGCTGCAGGATTTTCTTAATCAGATGCAAAAAAGAACAAAGGTAAAACTAACAGGTGACATGGATGAGGTGCAGTGTTGGAGGGGACATACATGAAAAAAACCTTTTCCTTCAGAGGTACAAAAGAAAGCCTTGCTCACAAGGAGTTACTCTCACAACTGTCTACTTTGCATTACTGCAGATGAATCTGAACTATAGTTTCAGAAACAAAAATCCTCGGTCCCTATATTAAAAAGAAATTTTACCAATATTCAGCACACCAGGTCAGAAGGTATATAGCTTTCCCAGAACTTTGTAGTGTCAATTGGCAGATTTTCATTTCTGTTTCTTAAGAGTGCTTTTAAATTTCGTTTGCTGGTCACTACCCTCTACTGGCATCGTGGTGTGCTGCAGCTGTTTTGCTCAGAACACTTGACTAAATACCATCACCTACTAGTAAGCTATGACTTGTCTTGTTTTTCATACAGACAGTCTTGAAAAGCAGTAGAACATCTAAAAATGGAAAGTAATTCTGTGTGGATTTCATTGGTTTTATTCATATTATTTGAATATAAATTATATTATTTGAATCAAGCTATTAATTACAAATACAGTCTTGGTTTTTTTCTGGTTACTAAGGTGTTTTAGAATTGGCTGACTTTTTTATTTTTCCGTGATTTCTAGGAAATGTTTTGTGACGTTCATGTTATACTGAACACATGTATTCATACATACATGTGTTTCATGTATGAATATGCAACTGAAATACTAATCTTCTAAGCGTTTCTCTCAGTGCGCTGCTGACACGCTGCCGGGGCTGTGAAGTACAGGGATTTCACGCGCGGCAGCAGGCACAGACCTTCAGCCTACGCCAGCGACTGTCACATCGTCGGTGGAGGCCCCGCTCCCGGCAGGACACAGCCGAGGTGCCACCCTCGCTCCCCGCGGCATCCACGCTGTGGATACTTACATATCATTCATACAAAACATCATACAAAACATCGTCAGCATATATTAACTATTTTTTTAAAAAAATTTAGTGAACAAATCATACAGATGTTAGTACAAGTTTTTAAAATAAAGCCAACAAAGTGATATCTGAATCCACTTTAGACAATGGGAAGAGTCAGCTCTGGAGGGCAGAAGAGAAACTTGAACATGTCGTTACAGGTATTTCAGTAGTCTTCAGTACAACAGTAGGCTTCTGTTGACAGAGATAGGTTTTAGCCGGGTTGGAAAGAAACACTAATGGTTTTTCAACTTCTTTCAAGAGATTCCAGGAACTGGCCATTGATAACCCTTTTTCTAATGCCCTCCAGTGGAGCACAGCCTTGATGAATTTCATGTCAATCTGTAGATGCTCATTTTCAGCAACTGTATGAAACTAAAGCTGGAATTACAAAGATACTTACATAGTTTAAAAGTAGTAAGTAGTTGTATGTGAAATGGTGCAGAGAACTGCAACTCTCCATGATGCAAAAAGGATTTATATTTGACTTATTAAAGTGACACAAAGACAATGTATACCTTGTGCATTTTATATTATGTATCATTCATGCTCACATTCCTCTTGGATTCTAGACACATTATGTTCAGGAGCATCACACCTTTGATTTGAGACCGTTGGTATTTTCATAAATATATAATGTTGGGCCAGCCTTGTATTTTACTATGTTTTTTGTTTTTCAGGAGTTGCCTGGAGTGAGAATACACTGACAGAGTATTTGGAAAACCCTAAGAAATACATTCCTGGTATAAAAATGATTTTTGCTGGAACTAAAAAGCAGAATGAAAGAGCTAATCTCATTGCATACTTGAAAAAAGCAACTTCATGAAACATTGCTGCAGCAGCTGTAATGTCAGTGAAAAATGTTTTGAATTCTGACTAGCTCCTATGTCAAGTTCTAGTATTTTGATGTTAATTATTCATTAGGGACTGGCCTTAGCAAAATCAAATAATGATATGTTTTAAGATGCTATGTCCTAATAGACAACATTGGGAGGTGAGCATTATTTATATTGTTATATATTTCACAGACCTTTGTGGAGTGTGCTATAGAAATACTGTTCCTTTTTATAAGGACATCTGAGAGCTCAATTCTGCAACTAGTTATTCAAACACCCACTGAAACTATTATTCAGTTGTGGCTATGTCAATAAGAAAGTCCCTGTAAGTATTAGGACTGACAACTGAATGAAATCTTTCTTTTGGAAAAAAAATCCTCAGCATTATCACCTGTGAAGGAAAGCACCATACACAGCAGATCACAAAACATAACCTTACATTAAAAGAACACCATATAAGGATGATGGAAGCGGAATATCAAGAGTATCAGATAATTTCAGGGGACAAGTAACCTTTCAGAAGTGATGTTGACCCAAAAGAATCTTGAGGAGATACCTGAATACCCATAACCTTTTTGGTTTAAAAACATAACCCACTCATTGTATTGTTAGTGTTCCTTTGTGTATTAAAAATCCATAATCATCTACCAGTCATTTTTCAGAGTTGTGGATTTTTTTCTCCATCTGAGGCTAGTATCTTAAGATATCCTTACACTCTAACATGTAGAATGAATGAGGGCTAACTAGCTCAAGCAAATTATAGTAGTAGATATTTTCACCAACAGTAGAGGATTGATGAAGGTGATTAAAGTCCTCCTAAAACCTCCTCATACCTCCTCTACCACTTGAATTGTGATTTACAATTTAATTCTCTGTTTACACAAATGTAATAGATTAAAACATACTTCACTCAAGCAAGGTTTCCTTATGTCATTGCAGAAGGGAGCATTAGTACAAAACTAATTTGCTATAGCATTATTCCCAGGTACTCACTTTAACAGTATTGTTCCAATGCTTACCCACCAGGGGCTATAACTGATTGTCTTAGAGGGCTCCATAGAGCTGAACTGCTGTTTTTAAGTAAGAGAGTAAGCGAGTGTTGGGTAGAAAGTTCTGTGACACAACTGGATGACTACCTGCTTTTTCTTCTTTTGTGCTGTAGCTATAAGATACTTCCCCCTTTCAGTTTAATAGTCAGGACCTGTTCTGTTGACTGTTTAGATAATTAAAGTATTTGCCTGAATGACAAAAATTTTCTCAAGTGCTTTTCTCAATTGCATTTTGAAGAGTGCTGTGCCACTGCCTTTCTGAATAGAGAAACACACTCCGCCTGAGAAATGCATTGACATTTCTCCTTGTGATTCTTTTAGGACATCTCTGTACGTTTGTACCCGAGGAGGCCAGCTGAGGCTGGCTAAAGCCTGCCCTGCTCTCTGAGTTGGCATTGTGCATCCACACCGATAAAAGGTGCATCATACCTAAGATGAATCAGATATAAGCTGCCTGTACCTCACTGCAGCATACCTGTAGAATTATGAAGGCAGCACAACCCTGTGGAGCCGACAAAATCCATTTGCCTCTTTGGCCTTCCCATGAAAGGCTGCAACTAATCTGTCTCAGGCCCATACACGAAGCTGCAGCTCAGCGTATGGTGCACTTCGTTTACTCACTGTGCAAACAGAGGTGTAGTTTGATGTGTGCCAGAACACAGACAGACCCAAGTTTTCTCCTAACATCCACCGATGCACACCAGGCCAGGTTTCTGAGGCAGGTTTTACCATGACAGCATGTCAAAAGGCTGCTCAAGTTACAGAATAGACAAACCACTGTGATCATCTTTGTCACACTTAATCTTCAAAAAAGAGGATTATAATATATATAATACATATATTATTATATATTATATATATAATATATATAATTTATACACAGATTTGGGGCTGCATAGTTCTTTACAATTAAGGTGCTACAGTAAATTGTTCACTATGTATTTTATGCAATGGAGACAACTGCGTTTTTACTTCTTTCAGTCTTGACTCTGCTATTTGAGAGATTGTCAATACGCAGATTTTTGCTGTAATCAAAGCCCATGCATAAACCCCCCAGCAAATAAACTAAAGATGCCACAAGACTGTTTGAAGAAATGGTGAAGGAAGACCTTGTTTATACCTAGGCTTACCGAAACACTCAATTGCTTTAAGTGTTTACATACAGAACTGCTACACAGTAACCATTTTGTTGTAAACACTGGTGTGACCGCTCAGACCAAACCTCACTGTGGTAAAAGTTATTTTCATACAACTATTTCACTTGTATGCAGATGCCCAAGGTCCCGGCTTGAGAGCTCGGGGCACGTGCCTGCCAGGCCTTCAGCAGCTTATGCAATTTCTTTGTGTAAGTGGAGTGTTCGTGCCAGTGTTGCAAAAACGCAGATGCCACTGAAAAGGCCAAGCACCAATTAGTGGCTGCGGGCAAGCGGGCGCCCTTCAAGGGTGACGGTGACGCAAGCGCCGGCGAGCGCCAGCAGCTGAGGACGGCTCCGTGGCAGCACAGGCAGCAGCGTACAGATGTGCGCCGACAGCGTGGGTGCCGTGGGGAGCGAGGGTGGCACCTCGGCTGTGTCCTGCCGGGAGCGGGGCCTCCACCGACGATGTGACGCGTGAAATCCCTGTACTTCACAGCCCCGGCAGCGTGTCAGCAGCGCACTGAGAGAAACGCTTAGAAGATGAGTATTTCGGTCGCCCTTGCCCTTACCGAGATACGCCTGCAATTTCATGTCCAAGCTACCTGTATGGAAAGAG